AGGCCCTGGGCAACCTGGTCTAGTTGGGGGTGTCCCTGCTGACTGTGGGGGGGTGGGACTAGATGACCTTTGGAGGTCCCTTCCAGCCTGGACAACTCCATGACTCTATAAACAGGACCAACACTGCCTTATCCCAAAGCTGGGCTGGGAAAGGACCACGTATGACCCTAATACTCAAGAGAATGAAAACCTGAAGCCCGTGGCTGATTTAAAGCAGTTGGGGGTGTCCCTGCTGACTGTGGGGGGGTGGGACTAGATGACCTTTGGAGGTCCCTTCCAGCCTGGACAACTCCATGACTCTATAAACAGGACCAACACTGCCTTATCCCAAAGCTGGGCTGGGAAAGGACCACGTATGACCCTAATACTCAAGGGAATGAAAACCTGAAGCCCGTGGCTGATTTAAAGCAGACCCTCTCTAACACCCAGGCTCCCACCAAGGAAACCTCCAAAGAGCAGCTCAAACTGGGCCAGTTTTTCTCCTCTGTGGGGCTGGAGGTGAAGGGCGTAGCACAGAGGGGATATTAAGGGTGAGAAACCCAGAGCAGCCGCCCTCTCTAATGCCCAGGCTCCCACCAAGGAAACCTCAAGCTCAAACAGGGCAAGTTCTTCTCCTCTGTGGGGCTGGAGGTGAAGGGTGTAACACGGAGAGGATATTAAGGGTGAGAAACCCAGAGCAGCCGACCTCGGGCGATTGCCCGTGGCCGGTTTCGTTTCAGAGTTAACGCAACCAGGCTGGGCAACTTCTGCATTTCATCACCCCGTGCCCACGTCCCGGCCACGGGCTGGGTGTCAACAGGAAGCGGGTACAGAGGAGGGTGTCCATCCACCCCCCGCGGGCAGAAACGGCCCCGGGGACCTGAACCCCCTGACTCTGGCACCGTGGTTCGGAGCCGGGCAAGGGAAGGGCATCCAGGGGGAAATCCAAGTGCTGCAAGTTCCTCCTCCGAGTCCTCACCTTCCCATCCAGGAAGAGCTTTGTGTTTTGCCCCAAACAAAGGCGAAATCACAGGCCTGACACAACCAGGTCTGTTCAAACACTTATTCCCCTCGCCCTCCTTAACCAAACCACAGCAAATTCCTCTCTGAACACACCTCAACCGCTGAGAAAACCACGTTTTTTCACTCACAGCCCCCGAGGAGAGGTTTCTCCCTCCCTGTGGGGCGAGATCCTACCTGCGTAGATGCAGACGAAGGAGCCTTTCGCGATGTCATCGAGGCAGCGGATGCCCCAACCTTTGTTCTGGGTCTTGAACAACTGGAGCCGGACCTGGAGGCCGTGCTGGACCAGGCGGTTGGTGCACATGTTGATGTTGCACTTGCACCTCTTGTTACACTCGTAAACACTGAGAAGAAAGGAAAAAAGTGAGGTTTTTTTCCCCCAGGAAACCATATCCCGGGGTTGGGTGTGGTACTGATGATGGTGAGAAGGGACTTGCAGCAGCTCCAAGCTCCTCGGAGCAGGGGGAGTGTGGCCACCAGGATTTGGGGCAACACACAGCAATCCCAGGATGGGAATTGGGAGATAAATCAAGATTTGAGGCAGGTTTTCAGTATCTGCACGTAGCTGTGGGAGATGTCACCTCTCTGATAGCACCAGGGGCTGAGTTTTTGGGGCTGGGTGTTTGGGAGGGAAGGAGAAGACTCCACTCACCCCGTGGGGAGACACTCCTCCAGCCGCTTGTGCTGGTACCCCGAATTGGGGTTGATCTGCCCTCCTGGGGTGCAGCCCGTCGCCTGGACCGTCAGCTGGTGACAGGCACATTTGGATCTAGAGAGAGACACAGAAAAATCACCCACCCGTCCACCAGAAGTTAATCTTACCCACGGGTTTTGCAGGAAGGCAAAGAAACCCCATCTTTCTGCAGGTGCGAACACAGAGACGGGCTTGACCTGGAGTCAAATCCGTGCCCCAGCAGAGCTGTGAGGGCTCAAAGCCCAGAGAGGGGCCACCCTGGGGTGTTTTCAAGGCAGGAAGGACCATCCAGGTCCTGCCCCCCACCCTCCAAGCCCAGGCAGATGTCAGGAGGGGTCACCTACTTGTCTCTGCAGCCGTCTTTGCAGTCGCAGCCCACCAGGAACTCCCAGCTGGTGTTGATGTAGACCCCTTTGCCGGGGATGCGCTCTTTGCTGTAGGCCACCTGGGGAGGTGGGGTGTTGTCAATCTCGTTGACACAGGAGAGGGGGACATCCTCCCTGCCCTTGGTGATGTCGGCGATGTAGTAGTAGGGTTTGTAGGGTTGGAACTTGCGATCCACCAGCACGTAGGGATCCAGGCAGAACATCTCCAGGAAGAGGAAGTCGCAGTCCGTCTCGAAGAGGTAGCGCTCGATCTCCTGCATGGTCCTCAGGCAGAGCCCACAGGGGGTCTTGTAGAGGACGTGGAAGCCCATCTTGCGGTTGACGCGCCGCCGGGCCGTCATCCGTCGGAAGTCGTAGAGCAGGGGGATGAGCAGGGGGTTCTTGCTGCGGTACTGGTCGCTGCGGATGGGCCGGACGCGGGACAGGCAGGTGAAGCTGCAGACGTGGGGCAGGTAGAAGAGTTTCTCCAGAGGAGCTCGGTAAGGGGGCTCGTTGGGGACGCGGTCCATCATGCCGTGGAAGGGCTGGGCCGTGCCGCTGCCCGCCTGGCCACCGGGGAGCCTAGGACAGGGACAGGGACACACTGAGGAACTGCAGCTTAAGGAAGAGTGGTGCTTTCTCAAAATGCAAAGGGATTTCAGGCACGTAATTCAAAGAATCATGGAGCTGTAGGGTTTGGAAGGAACCTCTGGAGATCATCCCGTCCAAACCCTGGCCAGAGCAGGGTCACCCAGAGCAGGTCCCACAGGATGGCATCCAGGGGGAGTTTGAATGTCTCCAGAGAAGGAGACCCCACCACCTCTCTGGGCAGCCTCTGCCAGGGCTCTGCCACCCTCAAAGTCAAGAAGTTCCTCCTCATGTTGAGATGGAACTTCCCCTGGTCCAGTTTGTGCCCATTCCCTCCTGTCCTGTCCCTGGGCACCACTGGAAAAAGCCTGGCCCCATCCTCCTGACCCCCACCCTTGAAGGATTTATAAGAATTGATCAGATCCCCCCTCAGTTTTCTCTTCTCCAGACTAAAAAGACCCAAGTCCCTCAACCTTTCCTCAGCAGAGATGTTCTAGTCCCCTCATCATCCTCACAGCCCTTTGCTGTTCCCTCTCCAGCAGTTCCCTGTCCTTCTGGAACCAGGGGGGGCCCAGAACTGGTCCCAGTTCTCCAGATGTGGCCTCTCCCAGGCAGAGCAGAGGGTTAATTCCTATCAAAGCAGCTGCTAATTACACAATGTGACACCCCCGTGGACTTAGTCCAATTAGACACCAGCCCCGGTGTCCCTTGGGAGGCCCCAGAGGGAATGTTACCAGCAGGAGAAAACTCAAAAAACTCCCCCAAACCGGAGCTGGGGAAGCAGAAACAAGCACAAGCTGGTTGTGGCCTCAGAACTGGGATCAACAACTTCTCAGCTGGGGACTGACGGTCACAAAGCCACGGCTGGGGAGAAGCCACCTGCAGGTTTCCATTAAAAACAGGTCCTTACAAGCTTTCTGGGGCTGGGAGGAAGAGGAGTCCTCTACAAACACACAGGGTGGGAGGCTTTGGCCAGGGTCCCACTGGGACAAGCCCTGCTCAGAAGTGATAAGAGACCCTCCAAGCCCAAACCAACCACAAAAACGTGACAAACGGTCGTCTGGGAGGGAGAACAAGAAGAGAAACGCTCAGTATGGGACAAAGTGGTGAATCAAGGTGTCCCTCCACAAGAAAATAAAGCCAAGGAGCATCATCCCAAGCTCTCCCTGGGGACGTGGGGGTTTGGGGGAAGCTCTGCTCACCGGTGCTGCGGGGCCGCTCCGCTCCTGCCCGCCGGAGGGGTGTCACTCAGGACAGGGGACGAGGGTGACGATTGCCCGGAGCCCACGGAGCCAGGACGGAAGGAAGTGCTTTTCTTGGCCACTTGCTTTCTGGCCTGGGCCAGCTGACTGTCGGAGCATCTGCACGGGGGAGGAAGGGAGGAGATTTGCAAGAGGCACAGCCCGAGGTGGGATTTAGAGAGGGGTGGGGGGAGCAGGTAAAATAACACTCCGCCACTAAAGTCAGCAACAGTGCCCCGTCCCAGCAAAACAGATTTTTTTTTTCCTAAAGAGTGTGAAAATCAGCCCATTTCGGACTCCTTGTGCCGCAGGGATCCCACCACAACCCCGGCCAAATGCCATAACTCGGCTACGTCTAAAAGCAGCTTCCAAAATACTGCTATTTATTGGGAATTGTGGCACGAGGGCGAGAGGGAGCGTAAGGAGGATGCCCAAGGCTTTGTGTTTCGGGAAGCCGGACAAACCAGTACGTGAAGAAACCCCTGCAAGAGGAGAACCAAGGGTTTGCAGAGGCTGAGTGAGTGCTGCGGGTCTGGGCAAGGGGAGGAACACCCAGTCCTGAGGACTCTCTTGTCCCCAGTGAGTAACGAGGTAAGATTGTGCCAGGGAATGGCTCCGAGGGGCCCCAAAATGCCTCCAAGGGGCTCCCAAACACCCCCACAGCCCACAGCCCCAGGAATGACAGCATGGAGGTGGGAGGCACTGGAAGACACCGACCCCGAGGGGCCCCAAAATGCCTCCAAGGGGCTCCCAAACACCCCCACAGCCCCAGGAATGACAGCAGGGAGGTGGGAGGCACTGGAAGACACCGACCCTCACCCTCTGAGAGCACACCAGCGGAGGTTTTCAACCCATTTACACTGATTAAACAGACCCCCACCCCAAACCAGCCCCTGGTTTTCCCCCAGAAGTAGAAGAAAGTGGTTGTTATCGGGGTGAAAAGGGGGCAGACAGAGCAGGACGGGGGGTGACCGTTTCTGCAAACATCTGCCTTAAAAGCAAGGTGTTAATGCACATCTCAAGAGGAAAAAAAAGCTTCTATCAACAGGCTTGAAAGAGGCAGAAAAGGGTGAGAGCAGCAAACTGGCACCACAGAAGCCGAAAGCGAGAGCAGAGAGGGAAGAGAACCAGGCCTTCCTCGGACTAAACAAAACACTGGAGTGAAGAAACCATTCTCTCAGTTTTAATGATCTAAAACCAAGGTGTTTTTGACCCAACAGCGTCCCTCGGGACAACGGGGACAGGGACAGGGACAGAGCATGCTGCCTTCAATCAGTGTTAAAAAAGAACTGTCAGTCAATATTAAAAAAGAATGGTCTTTAAGCAGTTCCTGCTTTGAGGGCAGGGAAATGTCCGTAGTGTTGGTTGTATCGGATCAGAAAACAAGATCCTGGCGTCAAAGACTTCGTGGGGAGAGGAAAAAAAAAATTAAAAAGTGTTTCTTGTAACAACTGTGAAATGGAAGAGGAGGGATTGGTCAGCCAACACGACTCAGGCTGGCTGATCGCCCCAGTCCAACTCCATCGTCTTCGTTGCAGGTCCTTCCTCCAGCCTCGAGGCTTCGGGGTGTCCTCAGCAGCCCCAGAGCTCTCCCTCTGCTCCTGGCTGGGGCCCAGGCTGATGGTGGAGGAGCTGCTGTTGCCCTTCTCTCGCTGGAGCAGACTCCTTCAGTGTCAGCCTCTCTTCTTGGTCATATAAGAGACGAGGAACGAGGCTATCACAGCTTCAATTCCCAAATCTTGGTCAGAACGGCGCAGGAGGAGTGTTTCCAAGTCAGACCCCAACATCCAGGGGCAGAAGGGGCACTGGGAACCCCCTCCTGAGACCCAAGGCTGGGGGCAGATGGGGTTTCTTAGATGCTGCTACGCTTAGACAGCATCTGGGAAATAGAGATTGACGTGCTGCACGGGTTCCTTACAGCTGGGACATCTCCTCTCTCCCTTCTGCCCGTGGAGCAAGGCACAGTCGCAGCAGAAGACGTGCTGGCAGGGGACCAGGCGTCCACAGATTCGGATGGGGAATCCACACTGGTGGCAAAAATGAACGGGGGCAGCGTCTCTCTCCCCTGACAAGTTATTCAAGTTCCAGAGCGAGCGCTCAGGGACCCTGGTGGTGCTCCCTTCATCACGAGGCCGAGTCCTTCCTTCATCCAGGCCTCCTTCAGCACTAGCCTGCACCTCCGAGAAGGTCCTGCTTGGGCCCCTGGTGGCACGGGGCAAGTGGGTGACTTGGCCGTGGCTCAGGTTTATCAGGTTTGGTGCGTGACCACCGAGCCCAGGCACCGGTCCCGAGTTCTCAGCGCCTCGTAAGCCATCGAGGTCTGCCAGCAGGTCAGTCCAAGTGGAGGAAAACAAGGCAGCCGGGGGCCAGTGCCTGGATCGTGACACGAGGGAGCAATTCAGATTTTGGGAAGAGAAAAGGAGCAGCAAAGGTTTCTAACTTGGAAATACATCAAGTTGCGAAGCTTTAGCCCTGCGTAAGGCCGGGGGGACACTGGGCTGTCAGCTCTCCCGCCCCCAATTCCTCATCCAGAGGCTTTTATCTAGAGTGTCCCCCTGAAAAGCCTGACTAAAACCAGTTTGTAACTGGGAAACAAAGCCACGGAGGAGACCTGAGGATTGCTCAGAAAGGGTGGTGCCTGAAAGAGCAGAGTGCTGGAGAGGAAAGGCAGGAGGAGGCAGTGGTGGGAGCAGAGAACTGACTCGGGTACTTACTCCATCTCGGGGGGCTGCGGAGAAACGGAGCGTGCGGCCAGGGAGGCCGCCTGCATTTGCTCCAGAGCTTTGTACTGGGTACCAGCTCCCGTTAAATCCTGGGTGTACTGGACCACAGGCCCTTTGCTCCTCACAGCACCTGGCGGGGAAGGGCGAAAAGCAAAAGTATCAGCAGGGAAAAGTCTCCACCATCATGCAAAGTTTGTTGCGCCAGCCACAAAAGATTCATTCAGTCCCCAAAGGTGTCTGCAATTAACGCTGGGTCGCTCACTGTGCCCCAAATCACAGCCCATCACCCCAACCAGCTTCTGACCACTCTACACGACCACGGTTTTGTGGCATCTTCATGCCAGGAGAAAAGAATCCCCTTGTAAATATTAAACCTCCTGGAGTTCTGCTAAAAAAAAAAAACAAACCACCCAAAATCCACCCCACCAAAGCCAAACAAAACCCAAAACCTGCCCCCGCCAGCCCGCAATGAGCTCACTCCAATTCCAGGATACACATAAAAAGATGCCACACACCGACGTTGGGACGTGTCCTCGCTTGTCCACTTTGCTTCTTCTCTTGGGTGGAGGCCGTGGAGGTTTTCATGCTGAACATGGGCTCCAGGCGCGTGGAACCCCGGTAAATCCACTCGCAGCGTTTGTCATCCTGCAGCAAGGAGAAGGTGACACTCACAGCACCTATGGGCTGCCAGAGGGACCCCATCAGCTTTTAGGTGAGCAGGACCCAAAGGAAAAGAGGGAAAGCCTTGAGCTGGAGGCTCTTGAAAGACCACGGCCAAAGGCAGGAATCCATCAGGGCTGGGGGAACACTCCAAACCACCCAAATCTAGAAACACCAGGAGCCCAAAGTTCAAATGCAGTTGTGTTTTCAGCCCAACAAGTGGCTGACGAGGCACTGCTGGAAAAGGAGGCTCCCTCAGGAAGACAAATTAACACAAAAGCCAATCTGCTGGCTGATTGTCCCAGTCCAGCTCCATCGTCTTCGTTGCAGGTCCTTCCTCCAGCCTCGAGGCTTCGGGGTGTCCTCAGCAGCCCCAGAGCTCTCCCTCTGCTCCTGGCTGGGGCCCAGGCTGATGGTGGAGGAGCTGCTGTTGCCCTTCTCTCGCTGGAGCAGACTCCTTCAGTGTCAGCCTCTCTTCTTGGTCATATAAGAGACGAGGAACGAGGCTATCACAGCTTCAATTCCCAAATCTTGGTCAGAACGGCGCAGGAGGAGTGTTTCCAAGTCAGACCCCAACATCCAGGGGCAGAAGGGGCACTGGGAACCCCCTCCTGAGACCCAAGGCTGGGGGCAGATGGGGTTTCTTAGATGCTGCTACGCTTAGACAGCATCTGGGAAATAGAGATTGACGTGCTGCACGGGTTCCTTACAGCTGGGACATCTCCTCTCTCCCTTCTGCCCGTGGAGCAAGGCACAGTCGCAGCAGAAGACGTGCTGGCAGGGGACCAGGCGTCCACAGATTCGGATGGGGAATCCACACTGGTGGCAAAAATGAACGGGGGCAGCGTCTCTCTCCCCTGACAAGTTATTCAAGTTCCAGAGCGAGCGCTCAGGGACCCTGGTGGTGCTCCCTTCATCACGAGGCCGAGTCCTTCCTTCATCCAGGCCTCCTTCAGCACTAGCCTGCACCTCCGAGAAGGTCCTGCTTGGGCCCCTGGTGGCACGGGGCAAGTGGGTGACTTGGCCGTGGCTCAGGTTTATCAGGTTTGGTGCGTGACCACCGAGCCCAGGCACCGGTCCCGAGTTCTCAGCGCCTCGTAAGCCATCGAGGTCTGCCAGCAGGTCAGTCCAAGTGGAGGAAAACAAGGCAGCCGGGGGCCAGTGCCTGGATCGTGACACGAGGGAGCAATTCAGATTTTGGGAAGAGAAAAGGAGCAGCAAAGGTTTCTAACTTGGAAATACATCAAGTTGCGAAGCTTTAGCCCTGCGTAAGGCCGGGGGGACACTGGGCTGTCAGCTCTCCCGCCCCCAATTCCTCATCCAGAGGCTTTTATCTAGAGTGTCCCCCTGAAAAGCCTGACTAAAACCAGTTTGTAACTGGGAAACAAAGCCACGGAGGAGACCTGAGGATTGCTCAGAAAGGGTGGTGCCTGAAAGAGCAGAGTGCTGGAGAGGAAAGGCAGGAGGAGGCAGTGGTGGGAGCAGAGAACTGACTCGGGTACTTACTCCATCTCGGGGGGCTGCGGAGAAACGGAGCGTGCGGCCAGGGAGGCCGCCTGCATTTGCTCCAGAGCTTTGTACTGGGTACCAGCTCCCGTTAAATCCTGGGTGTACTGGACCACAGGCCCTTTGCTCCTCACAGCACCTGGCGGGGAAGGGCGAAAAGCAAAAGTATCAGCAGGGAAAAGTCTCCACCATCATGCAAAGTTTGTTGCGCCAGCCACAAAAGATTCATTCAGTCCCCAAAGGTGTCTGCAATTAACGCTGGGTCGCTCACTGTGCCCCAAATCACAGCCCATCACCCCAACCAGCTTCTGACCACTCTACACGACCACGGTTTTGTGGCATCTTCATGCCAGGAGAAAAGAATCCCCTTGTAAATCTTAAATCTCCTGGAGTTCTGCTAAAAAAAACCACCCAAAACCCACCCCAAAGCCAAACAAAACCCAAAACCCGCCCCCGCAACGAGCTCACTCCAATTCCAGGATACACATTAAAAGATGCCACACACCGACGTTGGGACGTGTCCTCGCTTGTCCACTTTGCTTCTTCTCTTGGGTGGAGGCCGTGGAGGTTTTCATGCTGAACATGGGCTCCAGGCGCGTGGAACCCCGGTAAATCCACTCGCAGCGTTTGTCATCCTGCAGCAAGGAGAAGGTGACACTCACAGCACCTATGGGCTGCCAGAGGGACCCCATCAGCTTTTAGGTGAGCAGGACCCAAAGGAAAAGAGGGAAAGCCTTGAGCTGGAGGCTCTTGAAAGACCACGGCCAAAGGCAGGAATCCATCACGGCTGGGGGAACACTCCAAACCACCCAAATCTAGAAACACCAGGAGCCCAAAGTTCAAATGCAGTTGTGTTTTCAGCCCAACAAGTGGCTGACGAGGCACTGCTGGAAAAGGAGGCTCCCTCAGGAAGACAAATTAACACAAAAGCCAATCTGCTGGAGGACAGGGAGGTTAAATTTGCAGGTGCACGACGTCTCCGCCGTTATCTAGACGGGAAGGGAGCCAAGACAGAGAGCACATCTGATTCCTTTCTGCTATTTGGGGAATTTGAGCAAGCAGAATATCGCAGCTTCTGCTCAATTTTCCTCCTGCTTCTCCCACCAGCAGGTGTGTTGGGGCAGAAGACGTGGCTGGGTGTTCCCACCAAGGCAGGGACCAGGACACCACACCTGCAGGTGATGGATTTTGTTCCTTATTCATCTCCCACTTTAAAACTTCACAAGCAAAATGCTTTAAAAGGCGTTTTGAAGCTTTCCCCGTGCAAAGGAGGGAGTCTCACTTTCGTGGAAATTGGAAGTTTGACACAAAACACCTGTTTGCTCCAGGTCTGACAGTAGTAAGGAAACCAGACTTGATCACCCCAACAGTCCCCACCCAAGACTCCAGTTTAAGCCCATCTTTCCCTGCTTTTAATGGGAGGAGGGAAGTTGCCCTACCAGGAAGAGGATTTTGACCAGCCCAACAGTCCCCCCCAGACTCCATTTTTTAGCCCATCTTTCCCCGCCTTTAATGGGAGGAGGGAAGTTGCCCTACCAGGAAGAGGATTTTGACCAGGCTGCCGTCCACTTCTTCCACTCTGGATTTCCACCAGGTCCCTTCCCACTCCGTTTTGATCAGCTGCCCAGTCTTCAGCAGCACCATGGGGCGGTTGGGGTAGGCTGTGATGTACTCCTCGATGAAATCCCGGCAGGAAACGTCCTCTATGTCTTCCCAGGTCTTTTTAACTGCTCAGAAAAGAGAAGAGGAAGAAAGACCCTTACAAAGAGAAGCTTTGCAAGAGATCCCAGCTGAGATCCCAGAAGAGTCATGCAGCCACCCTGAGTGGCTGGATTTTTGGTGGTAGGGCATCCAACCACGCTATCGCACCCAGAGTGCGAGGAGTCACACTCACTCCTGCAGTAATAAATCACTATTTCCTCCAGCTTTGTAGGGAAAGCAAAGGTCTAGAGGCACAGCACCGGAGGGGACACGCAGTCTGTCCCCTGGCCTTTGAGCCCAGGCTCTTTTATAGACCCAAAAACTCCCCAGCCTGTTTCAGTGGTGGGACAGGGAGAGGCAGAGAGCACTCACGGGGCCGGCAGATCGGGTACAGCTCCCACTCCTTGACGTAGGACGCGTAGCCATCGTCAAAGAAGATCAGGAACCTGGGGAACAGCAAAGGGAACAAGCATTGGAAGTTGGAATTAGCAAGGCAGCTGGATAAAATGCAGCTCCGTAGTGAGAGGGGAGCACCCCTCCTGTTCCCCTGCCTGTCCCAAACGCCCTCAAATCAGATATGGTGGGTGAGAACAGACTGAAGTGACCATTTTTGCCAGGAGATGATGGGTTTTGCAGCACTGCCACTTCCTGGGCTGTTTCAGAACAGCTCTCCCCCTGCCCTGAGTCATCCCTGTGCCCCCAAAGCCAAACCAAAGGCTTCCCAGTGGCACAGCCCAGCCAGGGCTCCCTCCCTCTGCTCCATTCCCTCTGTGTCTCGGCCACAGGAGGTGAAGGACGAGAAAACACAGTTTAATTGCTCCGAATCTCTGCAAGAAAAGGTATTTTTGGAGCCCTTGGGACTAACTTAACTAGAGGGAGAGGGCTGGGGACACCTCCAGGGCTCCATCTGCAGACAGGAGAGAGCATGAGAGAGTCCTCGGTACCGGGGGCCGGGACGGTGACACCCCCAGGGCTGGATACACAGACCCAGATAAAGGTTGCATTATGAGAGATCAGTGTTACAGCCAGTCCTGGCCAGGAGGAGTAAACTTGCAACAGGAGTAATAAATGCAGCTCATTTTCAGTTATTAAAGGTGTATCAGATAGAACTTCACACAATCAGGCATTTCTGGCAGGTCCCCATTGGGAACAGACAGGGCGATTAGACCCTCCACGAGTCGCAGAGGGACCACAAGCCTGAACCACAGGGTGGGAGGAACCTGGTCCCTTATTTAGAGGTGACTGAAGAGCAGCTTTAGAGCTGCTGCTCCTTCTCCCCGAGCTCTTTGGCAGCGCTGCTGGCGCTCACCAGGGCTCCCATTTCCCAACGCTGCCCGTGACGCCCCGAGCAGCGCAGACTCACACCCCTGAGATCATCTGAATGAGCCACCAGATACAATTTCTGACTCGGGGACACGAGGAATTGAGTGGAGGCTCCACCCAGAGCCCTCAGAGATAAGAAACACCAAAGAAACAACATTCATCCACGGAAAGAGCAGGAAAGAATTTAGTGCTCTCAATAGCAAATATACAAATAGACCTTTTTTCCCTAAAACCGAATGAAAACGAAGAGAGAGGGATACATGACTGAAGGAGAATTAATACCTGTCTTTATTCTTCACGTTTGGGGTTTCAGCCACGATGCCAGCGTACAGCCAAACCTGATTCCCATCTTTGTATTTGGCCACAACCCTGCTGCCCACGTAGTGCTTCTCGGGCGAGGGGTGATAGTCGTAAGCCCCTAAAACTGAACCAAAACAAAGAGAGAGGGATACATGACTGTGAAGGAGAATTAATACCTGTCTTTATTCTTCACGTTTGGGGTTTCAGCCACGATGCCAGCGTACAGCCAAACCTGATTCCCATCTTTGTATTTGGCCACAACCCTGCTGCCCACGTAGTGCTTCTCGGGCGAGGGGTGATAGTCGTAAGCGATGTGATTGCCAGAAAGCAAACTCTTCCCTTTGTTGTCAAACTTCACTTTGTACTTCTTACCAGCAGCTGGAAGACATTTCAAAAGGGGCAAGGTAAAGAAAAGCCAAGGGATTTCACACAAGAAATCCAACACTATGTGCCATTCCCATCCAAGCTCAGGAGTTCACTGAATTTTAGAGTTGGAAGGGACCATAGAGATCATCTAGTCCAACTCCCCTGCTGAAGCAGGATTGCCCAGAGCTGGAGCATGTTACTCAGGACCAGAAATCATTTTGTAAAGTCAAATATTTTTATGGAGCTGTGCTGCTTTCGCAGCTCCTTTCAGGTGGCAGAAGAGGGGACCTGCTCCAAGCCCTGATGAGCATCACCCACCCAAAGCTTGGTGACAGCAGGAAGGAGGGGACGTACCGACAGTCTGGATTGCAATCAGAGTCCCTTTGTGCCATGTTTTGGTTCTCTTCTTGCCCAGGATCCTCATGCCAACGTTGAGATCCCCATCATTGCTGAGATCACCCCCGGCTGCCGCAGGGCCAACGGGCTGGGCACTTTCCTGAGGGGTCTGTGCATCTGCCCGAGGAAAAACCACCAGAAAATGGGTTAGAAACCACTCAAAGGCTCCTGCTTTCACGTTTGGAATTGGGAGAAGATGTGTTGGACCTGAGAGAGGAGCTGCTCTTTAGCTTTTCTTTACCCCAGCCTAAGTGTTTTGGTTTTACTGGACGGAGTAACCAGAGAGTGAGGCTGAAACAGCATTAAAATGCTTTTACGTTGTAAAAACTGCACCATCTGTGTGTCCCTTCTGACAGGTTTAAACAGGAATTTGGAATCACTATCTCCTAATGCATCTTTCCAGGGGGGGGAAGAACAGTTATTTTCTATCAACGGGTTCAGGACTCAGCCAGGAGTGGGGTGAGGGCACCCCAGCCCCAGGGAGCTCCCAGCCCCTCACCTTTTTGTGCATCCTGGGCGTTTGTTTTCTTGTTCACGGCGTCCATAAATCTCTGAACATCCTGGGCAGACTTCCTCATGGCAGCCATGGCTTCCCGCAGCTGAAGGGAAGGAAAGAGAAAGAAAATATTGAAAAACCTCTTCTTTTTTTCCACTTCCCCCCCACCCCCCCAAATACTGGAAAAGTCCACCG